CAACACCTACCACACCCGTGGTTTGAGAAAATTAAAGTAGGAAAATGCATCATGTATCAAGGGCACCCACTGATATACTGGTTGCCTGGTTTGCTTGGGATGTACCTAATGTCAAATGGTCAGCTCAAGGAGAGGACAGGGCCAGCTGCGGCCATCAGGAATCACCTCTTACCTTCCACTGAGCAGGAAGCCAATGACCACGGCCAGCAGAATGACCCCCACAGTCACGGACACGGCGATTATCGGGATCTGGCTCTGATCGCTGGATGCTTCCACTGCTGAGGAGAGACACAGAGAATGCAGCTTGTGAGTGAAGTGTTCACATGTATTCAATAGAAGCTGCTCAAAAGTCAGTAATCAGTTCAAAGTTTAAGCACCCTAGGCTGAGATATCCCCCTAATATCTCTTCTTAAAAGTGTGTAACTGAGGGCAGTGCCTGTGGCTCAAGGAGTAGGGCGTCGGCCCCATATGCCAGGGGTGGCGGGTTCAAACCCAGACCAGGCCAAAAACTGCAAAAAAAAAAAAAAAAGTGTGTAACTGAAAAGCCATCTTTAGAAGGAAATATTGACTCTCGAAACAGAAATTTGAAAGTCACACAAAATCACTGATTATTTCCTTGTCATCATAAAAAATGAATGTGGGGGCCGGAGGTGGGCAAGATAAGATGGGATTTCCTCCGTCACTTCCCACACCTTAATTTACACAGGAGGCTTTCAATATGCAGAATCTGACGATTTTGGAGTTCGCACACTCCTGTTCTCTAGAATAATCTGATTAATTCAGATAGGATTTGTTCCTGTATACCTAAATTCCTGAATAATGTGACACTGACTTAACGAAGTTAAATGTACCATCACTATTCTAAATATGATTTTAAAACATAACTTCAAGCTGAACATAATCAGCAAGTGTATACTTTTTGTAAGTCACATCACTTTTGGAAAATAGGAAGGCATGCAGTTGTAACTTTGAGGAGCCTGTGTTAAGATTAGATCACCAACATCCCCTTTTTCAAAATGCTTGGATTTAAGAAAATAGTTTACATGTTAGCCATATGGTGTCATAACAAGAAGAATACAGACGTGATTAGAAGTTGTGAGCACTCCAATTTGTACAAATAATCGACACATTGAATCCCATAATGGCATAAATGTATTCATGATCTATGTACAAATGACTTAATAAAAAAAAGAAATTGTACCTAAATAAGCAAAGAGATTTTTCTTCTGTGCTGATAACTAATCCTGATTTATATATATATATATATAAAAGAGAGCAAACTGTACTAATGTGTTTAATAATCTCTCAATAGAGTAACTATCATGGTCTTGTTCCATGTCATGATCATTTTGACGATTTTAAAACAGCACTAGTTCACCTCCATGATGTCAAATATAAAGTCACCAAAAGTTGCAGCAACTGTACTTCCTGTGTTTTTCTTTTTACAAGCCCTTATCAGATCATGGCCTCCAGACAGACTGGGGTCTCCCACACATTTCCCTTTCCATTCTGCTCACCTCACCCCTGATTCTTTCTTAGCAGAACCGGCTGGCCCTCCAAGCTGCCCAGCCAGCACTGACCTACACTTCCAGCCATTCCAGACCAGGATTCAGATTTTAATACGATTCAGAGTTGGTTTGAATAAAACTATTATTTGCAATAAATGTGTATGCTCTTGTTCGTCTGTTTTTTGAGTGATAATAGTTGCCATTCAATATCTTTTTATCCTGTTTTGTCCTATCCTCTGATGCTGAGGTTTGTGGCTAAAATTGTAGCCCCAGGTGCAAAGTACAAATGGGGAAGGAAAAACAGTCCCCATATCGGAGTTTTAGTCTCTACGCTCAGATTACTTCCACCATTGTGTTCGCTGTTCTCCTTCTTTTTGGCAGGAGGCAGTATTTCTAGTAGAGAAAACAAGTTGGCCCATTTAAATTCGGTGTCATTTGGAGGGGGTCACTGCATCTGCTGCTCACACGCCTATGATTCTCTGTTACTAACTTCCTAAAAAAATCGTCCAGTAATGAATCTTGTTCAGTTTCTCCAGATACTAATCATTCCTACTTCCTATGTTTTAGAAACGCTTAAACTTTGTAGATAAAAGAGCGGGATCGAGTCTGAATTCCAGGGTTAAATATAACGGCACCACCTTCTTCTGCTTTTCCGAACTCCCTTGTGGCAGCCCCTCCTGTCTCTCCCAAGACCTAGCTCCCCCAAAAAGCTCCCTCCAGGAGGGACTTCTGTCTCATTACCGGCTATTTCTCGGCTACTTATAAGCCTGAGCAATTATCACTTTTAGAGAGAAATATATCCTTGTATCTAAACCTGAATTTGAAAACAGTTCCAACACCTACCACACCCGTGGTTTGAGAAAATTACTTAACCTTTTAACGTTCATTTCTTCAATCTCCAAGTAGGGATAATATCCCCGGATCATTATATTTCTGTTAAGACTCGAGATTTCAGTCTTACATGGAGCTTCAACTACTGACAGCCTTAAATAAACAGTAAACATTATTTCCACTCACTATTTCCAGCTTACCTACCAATCTAATTATTTCCTATCTGTCAGTGACTTGCCAGAGTTATCTAGACCCTGTCTTACTTTCTAAGAGCCAATATTATTAAATTCTCTCTGAAATGTTTCTCCTCTGCCTTTGAATTTCAGGCTGGATATTGTGCTGTGTATTTGCTGCTGTACTGAGTACTGATCCATTTACCTCACCCTGCACCACGATCAAAGATTCGACCTTATTGAACACACACCTTCCCTGTGGAACTATTCTCCTGGTTTCTAAGGCATCAGAGGGATTTCTCTGTCTCTCTCCTAAGCACTGCCCGGCCGGTTCTGCTGGCTCTGTGTTCTCCCCGGCACCCCCTGTGGCTCCTGACCTGTGCTCACTCCTGGGCTCCCACGTCTCTCTCTTTTTTTCTCTGCTGTCCTGATAGACACAACTTTGCAGGTGGTATCAGCCAACAGCCATCACGTGAACGATCACAAATGTATATATATGTCTGCTCCCTGTTCCTCTCCAAAGCATCACTCCATTTTCATCACAGACTGTTTTCCCTTTATTGGTATTTTATTGTCATATAAAAACCATGTTTCAAATTTATCCTTATCCCACGTCCACTCTATCAACAAATAAACAGATCGCAAGTCAACAGACAAGCTGCCCTTGTCTCCCCCTTCCTTTTAACTACCACTGACTGTTTCTTTTCCTCTCCTTGCTCAGGAATTATCACCTATTTTTGTGTTTTCTTTCATGCTTCTTTTCTTTCTAGTCAATGTTCACCTACTTGATTCAAATCTGTATAATCAAAAAACTACGTCAAGTGTTAAAGCCTTTGAAGTCTTCCTCCATCTCCGCTGAGCTGACAGTAAATATCCCCAAATTTCACTTTGATCTTTCCCTGCTCAAGACTTGAGAGACTTCTAATACCCTTGAAAGAAACTCCCAGACTCTCAGTGTAGCATTGAAACCCTTCTCACCTGACTCTAACCAACCTCTCTGCTCTCCATTGCCCTCTTGGGAGCTCCCCCAGCTACTGGAGGACGGGGCATGACTGGTCAGATGTGAGGGTTACAACACAGCAAGTGCTAAATCTGAGAAATGTATGAATTCTCTGTAGAGTCAAATTCTTCATTTTTAATAATTGCCTTCCTTTTCAATAATTTGATAATGTGCTAAAATAATGGATGTAAGTATGAGACATTATGTTGCAATAAAATAATTGTTAATGATGTTCCAAAAAGTCCAATTATAGCTTAATACATTCGATGACAATATTTTCTAAGTGCTACCAAATCATGGACATGTATTATTTCTATGTTTTTATGTAATGTCTACTGAAATCAGATCTTTTTTGTATAATAGGCAATTAAATCAAGGGGTTATAAAGAAGAATTTAGAGAACATATTATTCTTTATTATATTTTTATCTTATTTCATTTTATTTTTGAGACAGAGACTCACTATGTTGCCCTCGATAGA